TGCCTGCCATGCCCACGGAGACCCTACAGACAGGTAGCATGGTGAAGCCGGTGAGCCCCGCCGGCACCTTCACCTCGGCCGTGCCCCTGCGCATCCTCAACAAAGGGCCCGACTACTTCCGCAGGCAGGCCGAGCCCAACCCCAAGAGACTCAGCGCGGTCGAGAGGCTGGAGGCCGACAAGGCCAAGTACGTCAAGAGCCAGGAGGTGATCAACGCCAAGCAGGAGCCGGTGAAGCCGGCCGTGCTGGCCAAGCCCCCCGTGTGCCCGGCCGCCAAGCGCGCGCTGGGCAGCCCGACGCTGCGCGTGTTCGGCAACCACGCCAAGACCGAGAGCGGCGTGCAGAGGGAGAACCTCAAGCTCGAGATCCTCAAGAACATCATCAACAGCTCCGAGGGCTCCAGCTCCGGCTCGGGCCACAAGCACAGCTCCCGAAACTGGCCGCCGCACCGGTCAGACGCCACCGACCTGCACCGCCACTCCTTCGCCGAGTCGCTGAAGGTCTACCCGACGCAGGCCCGCGGCAGCCCGCAGGAGACCGGGTCCCACGTGGGCCGGCGGCTGCTGGAGCAGTCGGCCGAGTCCTTCCTGCACGTCTCGCACAGCTCCTCGGACATCCGCAAAGTGACCAGCGTGAAGCCCCTCAAAGCCATTCCCTGCAGTAGCTCCGCTCCTCCTCTGCCTCCCAAACCCAAAATCGCCGCCATCCCCACGGTGAAGTCCCCCGAGGCTGACCCGGTGGAACCGGCCTGCGGAGTGAGCAGGAGACCCTCCCTCCAGCGGTCGAAGTCAGACTTGAGTGACAGGTATTTCCGAGTGGACGCGGACGTGGAGCGGTTCTTCAACTACTGTGGACTGGACCCCGAAGAGCTGGAAAACCTCGGCATGGAAAACTTTGCAAGGGCTAATTCTGACATCATATCCCTCAACTTCCGCAGCGCAAGCATGATCAGTTCAGACTGTGAACAGTCTCAGGACAGTAACAGTGACCTTAGAAATGATGACAGTGCCAATGACCGGGTGCCCTACGGCATTTCTGCCATCGAGAGAAACGCTAGAATCATCAAGTGGTTATACAGCATCAAACAAGCTAGGGAGTCACAGAAGGTCTCCCACGTGTAGGAGGGCGGGTGGGCGTCTGTGCATACGCGGTTGTGAAGGTTGTGAGGTCTCCTTGAAGTGTTGTGAGCTTCTCCACTCTTTGTGTTGCTTGTGGTGCAATGTTTTCGAGTTGCATGCCTGTCAACATGAGGACTGACCTGGCTTCACCATCGCTGCAGCGCCTGGCTGAACACGTCATCTGCCAAAAGTTTCAGGCCAGAATCCCAGTAGGGCTTTGCTCCCAAGCAGAACTGTTTACACGGAAACAGTATACGACTTCGATATTTATGTGGTTCTTGTGTTTTTATACCCCCCGCTATGGTGTCTTAATTAAAAGTTTTATCAACTGGCTTTTAAGTTGAGAGCAGAATCTTTTTGAAATACTACTAAAGCCACTTTGCCTACACGGGGGACAGTAATAAGGGGGACATAAGTGGGATCTGCTCCCAGACAGATAGTGACTGACTACACATAGGGCCAGGCTGGGTTTTTTTTTTCTGTGGAATAAAATGGTGAGCCTGTTGTTAATTGTTTACATGTTGAAATTCTCTTGCCATTTCGTGAAGCAATATTTGGGGCTACGTTCTGTGTCCAACTCTGTGTAAATGTTGATGGTTTTGTGTAATACCCCAAGGAAAGACAATCGGGTTCAATGAAGGATGATTACATCGAGGAGGTTGGGTGTGTGGGGGCTTTGTTGATGTTGTTCCAATTTGGGATCATTCGGAAGTGTCCAATAGTAATCTTTTGTCAGAAATAGCCATCCTGAAAACTCTTACGGAATGCCTTTACAAAAGAGTAAGTTTGGTTTGGGGGCCCAGAACTACTAATCTCATGCTGTTGGTCTCCCTCCTCCCCTCCCTCTGCTGTTGCTATTTTATTTGGGATGGAGGAGCGGGGCATGTGCAGGTTTGAGCTGTCTGAGCAAAACGGAAATACCACCCATATCGATCCCGAGCCTCCCATTCTAAAGGGAAGAGTGTGGAGGCTCAGCCGAGCCATGTCTGAGCAGTATGATTCTGTCGTCTCGCTGTGTTCCGCTCTCACGTTGTAGGTCTTTGTTACAACTCTGCAAAGCTCTAGGAACAGCACTATGTAGCTTTCTACCTATGGTCGCTCTGGCTGCCTATCAGCATGCCCGCCTCCCCCACTCACCTGTCCTGCAGGTGGTTCAGTTCGCTGTCAACCAGCTGATGACAGGGTGGCGTAATTGCAGAGAGGTCACAGTGCTGTGGTCTGCTTCGTGGCTCTTGTGGTCACGCTCGGAAGTCCTCAGCAGCACGACCTTAGACTTGATCAGCTAATCTGAAACTTTCTATGGTGTAAATGCTGTAAGACTTTGTACATACTTTCAGCTGTTACGAAATCTTTAAGAAAACAAAGGAAAAGTTATGTCAATAAATAGCTCTGGTGCAGGCACTGGTGGTGGTGCTTTCTCTTTGTCCTTCCCTTTTCTTGCTCCCTGAAACTTTCATTTGGCCTGTGAGCCAGAAGGCGGATTTTTGATAGTCTCCAAGAAACATCAATTCATTTAGCTATTTTCACCATATCCCACTGACTCTGAACAGTATTCTTAATTGTAGCTTTTGCCAAAGAGTTACATCAAGGTTCCTAAAATACGCTGTTGCCTCTTTACTTAGTTCACACTTGGGTTATTTTTGTCTTTTCTTAACCATCAGGATTTTTCACATCTTCTACAAGATTCTCCAGTCATAAATATTTATGGATTCTCACAGCAGAGGCGTACTTTCAAAGAGTCTGGCTCTGTTTATTTGTACGCACCCAGCATCGGTGCCACTGTACGGGTCTATCCATCCATTCATTCATTCACTCAGTCTCCTTCAACATGTCACCTGTTCAGCCACTCCCTTTTTCTGGCATCTTCGTCGGTACAGGACCGCCATGCTCAGCGACAGTCTCTGCTGTGAGGAACTGGTCTTTTCACATTTATTTTAAGAGAAACATCACTCCTGCGAGTGGACATGTCCCATCTCCTATTGTCTGGATATTGACTATTCAATGAGTATGTATTAGACTAAGTAATTTGAAGGTTAACATTTCTCCCGGCATTCCATACAATACGTCATGTAAAAGGAAGCATTATTTAAGAAGTAATTTTTAGGAACAGATGATAGGATTCTCAACTATTCCCATGTTTATAAACAGTTCCTTCTTAAAAGCAAAGTGGGTTCCTTGACTCTGCTGGCTTTGAATTCCTCCTGGTTCTCTCACTAATCTTCAGCTGAACTGGAACCCGCTTCCCAGGAGAAACGTTTTCGAATGCAGCTGTGAGTGGTGATGGTACCCTGCATTGAAGATAGTAGAAGAAAAGGAAGTTCTCTGGAAAAACAAACGACAACAGCAAAGTTTCCAGACCTCACCATTTGTGTGGCAATGTGGCCATTCAAATATACGTGGCTTACCGCCTGGCCCTTTTCTGGGGCTACTGAAATGCTAAAAATAGATATTTTCCTTAAAAAGTATTTTGACTTGGGGAGGGGGATGCTGGGGCAAATGAGCACTTCTTAACTACTCGCACTGCTTTGTCGCTGCGTGTGCTGTTTTAGTCAAAGACCGTGTTAGACGCTTCCAGTATTTCAACACAGTGTGTGATCTGTATTCAGACAGGACGATAAATCATCCCACTGTAATCCAGTCTAAGCTTCTGTGTGGCCTTATTTGTATAGTGGACAAATAAGTGGGAGTCTTTTGTTTCCTATGGAAGATGGGAGCTCATTATTTTCTGTGTGTTCTTGAATTCGTTTTTATAGAAGACCATTTCAGATGCATAATATTAAATCCTAAGCGTGAAACATTTCCTAGTTGTGAAATACCTCTATTCCTCACAGAGCGCTTGTTCCTCTCACTCACAGAGGTCACGTGCGTGCGTATGTGTGTGTGTGTGTGTGTGTGTGTGCGCGTGTAAGATGGAAGTACCGGTGTGAATATAGTGTTGTCATAGAGGTCACGCTTTTTATTCCCTGCACAACGCAGAGGGAAACGCGATTGCCCTGCAGGGCCCTGGAAGCTAGCTGTTTCGAAAAATGACCAGCTTGTCCGACAGACCTCCCGTCTCTTTCTCTGCACTGCCTCGGTTTAGCCTCACACCATCGATGATGCAGACTGGCATTCTAACTGAAGGCCCTCCCACTCCAAACCATGACCAGGCTCTTCTCCATCCTGTTTCATTCCGGAGATAACAGGGTCAATTCTAGTTATGTTACTCCTCTGTAAAAATATCTTCTGGCTTCAGTAGGTTGCCTACAGGATAGATCCTAACTTCTTAAAACAATTCCCAACGTGGGCCTCTACCTCTCAGATGTCAGCCTCTCAGCCCAGGCTTCCACGTTCCAACCAAAGGGAAGTTTCCATTGGGAACTTTTATTTATTTATTTATTTATTTTTTTTTTTGGAGAGGTTTTTGCTATAGGGCGCGTGCACTCGCCAGACAGAGAAAGACATAGAGACAGAAAGCAAGAAATC